AATGCCAAATTATCTAATGCATCATGAATCTCGCAGGAGAAAAAGAGAAAGTCATGCAGGGTCATCTAAGCCTTGAATGACAGGGCCCATGTGTGCAGGGTGACTCGTCAGCCCACACTCTGGTCTGATAGCACAGGAAACAGGAAGAATGTGAAGGGCACTGTTGTGTGAGCACTGCTGATTCACTGCATGCCACTTACAGTCTCTCAACATCACAAAAGACTGGAGACCAACAATGTGACCTATGCAGAGAATGTGACCCTGCAAGTAGATGTGACGGGATGTGATTTTGAGGTCATCAATTCATTGTGCATTATGAACTTTGTTCAGCCAACATGGTACATTCACAACAAATCAGGGCAACTGCTTCATACAGGAAGAAATATTCATTTGAAAGACTTGAACTGACTGATAATCAGAAGGTTTTTTTTTCTATAAATCTTGATAGAATCAAGTAATGCTTGATGCTCAAGAATCATTAAAGGGATAGTTCACCCAAAAATGGAAATTCTGTCAACATTTACTCACCCTCAAGTCATTCCAAACCTGTATGAGTTGCTTTCTTATGTTGAACATAAAAGAAGATATTTTGAAGATTGCTGGTAATCAAACAGTTGGTGGTTGCCATTGACTAACATAGAATTTGTTTTTCCTACTATGGAAGTCAATGGCAACCACCAACTATTTGATTACCAGCAATCTTCAAAATATCTTCTTTTATGTTCAACATAAGAAAGCAACTCATACAGGTTTGGAACGACATGGGGGTGAGTAAATGATGACAGAATTTCCATTTTTGGGTGAACTATCCCTTTAAGTATGTCTTTCAAAGGAGGATTAAACATTGTTTATGATGATCAACATTAACTAAAACTTAAACTTTAACTTGGAGATAATTATTAAAGACACATAACAGTTGCTTTGTTAGCCAAGGCTGTGTGAGGCCATTTGGGGACACAGTTGTAAATCCTGTGTGATATTTTTTATTTTTATTTTTTTATTGAAATGTGAAGTTTATTGTCAGGCACAAAAAATCAAATAAAAAATACAG